GGACTGTGGCCTGTAGACTTTTCTTTTGCCAAACTAATTCTGGGCAGAAATGAATACAGGCTTGTACCTGAATGAGTCTAGGTTACGTGTTTATTACCAAGCCTTAGGCCTTTTACTCCTACTGTCATTGACAACAGAGGAGACGCTTCATTCAACTTAAGAAACTTTTTTTTTTCTCATAGATTTTCCTGGCGACAGATAACAGAAATGAAGGCCATTATTACATGACCCATTTAAAACCAGTACCGATTTAGAAAGCCTTCCAGATGTGATCATATGAAGCAACTCCAGGGTGCTGCAACAAAAACTGACCTTGACAATTACACACAACGAAATTAGAACCAATATTTATTACGTCTAAAAAGCAATTTGACACCAATCCTGTAATTATCTTGTTACATCAAAGCTTCATGAACGTTTTCTATGCAAATGTAAAATATACAAAGTTAGTGGCAAAAAATGCTGTTACAGTATAAGCGCCTTGGAAAAACGGTTCAGGGTGTCCGTGTTGAATGTATTCATTTATCTTACAATTAGAAATGTTTAACCATAAGGATTATTTTTCAATAATGCTTGAAAAAGTGCTTGAGTAAATGTCTGAATATTAACCCTATTGAATTGAACACAGTATATTCAGTCAAATCTGTTCAAATGATATAGAGAAAGGCTCAATTTAATAAAACATTTTGCTAGCATGAGCTAAGGCTGGAAGATAGGAGCATGAAAAAATACATTCTAGTCAGTTATATTTGCAAAATAGTAAAATTCCCAAGCTCTGTACAGAAAGTAGCCGGCTGCTGCAAAGGAAACATGCACTTCATTTGGTCAATACATTAAATAGATGTCCAACTTTATAATATATACATATGCACATTAGGTAATTTGCTTTTATACACTACATACAAAACTGCTTTAATAATCACACTGTCCTATAAACTTCAAAAAGAGTCTGATGCAAGTCAAAGAAAACAAAGCGTGGCATAGCGAAAGCAGTCAAGCGATCATCTTTTGTCTTTGAAGAAGCCTTTAGAGGTGCTGCTCTCCTTGATGGTGACCGTCACGAAGTTGGTGGTCACATCTGTCACCAGGACCTTCTCCACGTTGCCGAGAGAAGGCCTCCACGTCACCTCATCCAAGTTGTCGTCAAGCCTGGTTGGAGATGGCCTGTCTAAGAAGTAAGGCTTTTCCATTTGTGGAAGCGCGGCAGGGTGATTCAGGCTCTGGCTCATTTTGGACTGGTGCGTGAAGTGTGCAGGAGCCAGGTAGGTGGAACCATCCTTAGTCCTCTGTATGTCCGTGCATGTCCTGTGCAGATGCAGACTGCGGTCTGAGTAGAGCTGCTTGTAGGAGCTTCCACTGGAGAGCTCCCGGTTGTGTGTGTGGTGATGATGGTGGTGTTTGTGGCTGTGGTTCTCTGGATGTCTGTGGGCCACCTCGACCAGCCTCATGTCTTCACCTCCCTGGAGTTTGGCCAGTTTGTGTGGGCCGTGGCTCACCTGCTCCTCTGCTCTCCTCTTATGGGCCTCAGAGACGGCAGGGCTGAAGCGAGGCTTAGGCTTCGGGCCTCTTTTTTTGGGTATGTGGATGAGTCCTTCGGGACTGCTTTGCTGAAGGGAAGGCTGCTGGTGCTCACGGGTGCCAAGTTCCAGTGGCCGGACATGTATGCTCTCTCCACGGTTTACCGTGCTGGGTGGGAAGATGGTGGGAACAACAGCTCTCAGGCCCTCTCTGGCCCTGGGAGTCACAACTGGCTCAGGAGCCGGGTAGGTGATGTGCATCCCTCGGACCGCCTCACTCCTGAACTCATAGGCCTTCTCTTTAACTTTAGCCTGAGCCTTTTAGAAAATAAAAAAAATTAGATGAAAAATATTATTGGAAATTGTACTAAAATGACTCTATTTCATATTATTATTTTTCATTTCTCAATCAACTTCACAGGCCTTTTTCACAGTAGGCATGTTGACTTGTCAGACCACAGCCACACCAACACCAACAACAGCAGGACATGAAGCACCTAAATGAAACTCAGCCATTGTTCCAGCTTTTGCTGAATGTGGCATGTAAAAATGACTTTCATAAAAAGGTCTGGGGAGACGTTTGCAGTTATCACACAGCTTTAAAAAGGTGCATGTTTAACAGCAAATGAACCCTGTCAGGCCATAGTATTTCTTAAGAGAAATTCCACTGCCCAATTTTTTTACCTAAGACTTCTGACAGCGGAGATTCTGGTATAAACTCTGTCATTGTGCATTTTTTACGCTTTGTTGGATTGAAAACTGAAACATCTTAGTGACTGACTGCTTTATAACGGACTGACATGTTTCCATCTCACTTTAACGACGGAGAGTGGCCTAACAAAAACGGATTTCACAAAGCTGTTTGTTAACTGAAGTCATTCCTGCCACTCTTTAATGTGTCAGTAGTTCCCCTTTATAGCCCATACAAAAGCTGAATACACCCGTTAATGGACACGTACATTTACACGAAACACAATGGGACCGAAATTGATTTGCAAGGACTTTAAATAAACAGCTAACAAAACTGAATACACGTGATATAGTTAGACAATCCTGTTATTTAAAAACATGCATGTGAATCTGGCATGATAACTGCGAGTTATTAGTAGGCTACGCAGTTTATTACAGCAAAACTCCGCGAACAACGCTGCTAAATTTACCCTGAGCAGAAAGGTCTTGGGTTTAGGTCCTCTCTTTTTGGGCCCATACAGCTCCCTTTCACGCTCCCTGTGAAAAATACAGCAACAGACACCCATTTTGAGTGTCACGGGAGCAAAGTGCACCGACGACACCATATAGTTATTGGACATGTTAACATTCACTGGCTCTGCCCATTGAGGCCAGCCCAGACATCTTACCTCTGCTCAAAAGCGGCAAACAGGCGAGAGTCCAATATATTCTCCTCCGGTTCCCAAGTGCTATATCTGTGAATTAAAACGTCAAGTCACATTGAGGAAGCAAGCGCTGGCTAACACAATGTGGATGGCCATAGCATTAGCCTGTAAGCTAAAATCTCCATCGCGCTGTACACCTCAGTTTTAATCCGGCTGTGTCGCTAGCTTTGGCGAGCTAACGCAACCAACAGCCGACACAGTAAAGACACCACAGCCGTGACGTGAAAACATGCAAGACATACAACGTAGCGGGACTTACTTGGGAGACCAGCCCTTCCATTTCACAAGATATTCAATCCGACCCTACATGCCATCAGAAATAAACAGAATTGACTTCGTTAGCGTGCAAGGCAACAGTAGTATCAGAGTGCGAGGCTGATGCATAATATTCAACGCGCTGGGAGGAAAGAGGCACGTTACATCTCACACCTACCTTCCTTATCCTCCGTTTGATTATAGACTCGGCTGCGAACACCCTCTCCCCGACGGCAGACAGCTCCATGTTTACTCCAGTGCTACCTACCGTTAGCTCTGTGGACGGTAACGTTAGCAGAGCAGATATTTTTCTCCAGTCCCAGCCACTCTGAATTCCCGACAGACCATAATACTCCCGAACATAGTGGACGTCAGCGCAATTTTTTACAGCGTTGCTAAGGAACCGCAGTCGGTGGAACCTCTAGGAGAGCGCCCATTGGTCCAGCCGTTGCTACGTGCTCGGGTTGCTAAGTGAGGGGAGGAGCGTGAGGCTGTGTGAATTCTTTAAGGGGGGAAAATGGTGGCTTTTCCCCGCGCGGCGAGTGAATCATTTCGCGCAAGTTATGCCAGATATTCAAAAATGCACGTGGTATCAAAAGTAGTCCGGTTATAATCATGCGACAGAGTCGTCACGCCGAAAGAGAGACAACAAAATAATGGTTTTTGGTTTACGTGACAGCGCGAGAAACAATACATGACACATTTCATTTTCGTTTAGTCTCTCCAGCACTCTATTTATCAGCGAATGCAGCAGGGCGCTTGGCAGGCGTTATTATAGTAGTCCACAAGCACAAATCTGTGGTTGTCTGTGTGTTCTGGTTACAAATGTATCGCCTGCCCGCATTCATTTCGCTTGTCCATGCTGTCTCAGGCCAGGGTGGGATCAATTCTGCCAGGAAAGCCTACAATTTATATTCGTATTTTTTCATCTACAAACACTTTGTATCTTAATTTCGAAGGTGATCTTTTATTTTATTTCTTGCACTCATGAGTCTTTGTTGTTTAGAATATCTCTGCACTGGGCTGTAAGTTATAGGCTATATTTAAATCAGTGACCTGTCTTCTCTGCTAAAAACATTTGTGGGTAATTGAATAGTGAAATGGTTCTGAAATGGCGATCCGTGGGGATTCCACTAGACATTTAGCAAAATGTTTAGACTTTGATTTATAACATGTCAGTAAAACTAGAAAGCTTGTCATATTATCATGTCATTTTGCATTTTTACATGGGTCCGAACAGTCGCCACTCGCCTCCTTTTCCGGCTCATCCCTTCAGTAAAATTGCGCTTTGCTTTTGTGATTTCTAAACTGTTAACAGTTTATTTGTAAGCTGTTCTTTTTCTGGTAACAAGCTTACTCAACTAAAATGATCTACAAACGCAGAAATAATCTAGAGGCTTCCATTAAGTCTGTTGGGTTTAAGCAACGCATTCAGAAAGGAATAAAATTAAAAACAAAATAACGGAAAATATTCAACAATAGAACAGAAATATCAAATAAAACCCCGTGTTGTAAAAAAACGCCCAATGAGTCACTGGTTTTAATCCACTGGCCTACACATCCATTTGAAACGTTTAAAAAAACAGATAAAAAAGGTTCAGAAATCTGTATTAATACCATTCACCTCGGTTTCAGGATATATCTAATTCATAGGAATAACATCTGTTAGTATTTTCCTATTATTCAGTGACACTAAAAATGGTAAATTTAAATGGGGAAATTCTCCTAAAGCTACTACAAAGCTTCTAACAGTTTCAGAAATAATGAGGCTATGGTAAATGTGAATATTACAACTGCCTAAATGTCATAGGCCTTCTCGTTTTGTTGTAGGATATCAGATGATAAAAAATAAATCCCCTTTGTTGAATATTTTAACACTGCTTCCACTCATTTATTCACTTCTTTTAAATCAGCCGAGGACAGCCTTTATTTCTTCTTCATGCAGCTTGACTCAGATATTTGGACGCTTTGGGAAAGGTGACTGAAAGCTGTCAAGCATAAAATAAGTTTGTCTGATAAAGGCTTAGGATGTTAGTTATGCAGTTTAGATCTTTTCCAGCCCCACTGCTCGGAAAGACAAATAGTCTACAACGGTTAGAGATAGGAACTTTTTTTATTTATTCTGTTCGCACAGAGCAATAATGACAGTCGGCTTCGTTTATGGACTGGCCTGGAACCATTTATCCAGAATATTGGCTAATAAATAGACATGATGTTTAAATGTGTATATTTAAATGCCAGGTGATGTAATCAGAATATCAATTAAAGAATACACAAACCATACGTGTATGATTAGTTTTTGAGACCTGCCTGCTTCATGACCTTTTCTCCAGTGTTTGCTGTGTGGACGACACCCAGTCACAGCGGCTTTAGTCGTTATGAAGACTATGGGATTGTGAGAGAACCGTTTACCTTTTCACTGACTGACAAACTCTTGAGCCAGTAGAAACCAGGGACAGGCCTCCTAATGGACGGCTTTTTAAAATAAAATAAAAAAACTAAGAACCCTTGACACTGACCCACGGGATTGTAATGACTTGGAGAACGGCTCAGTTTGAGCAGCTGGACTTAGGTAGGCTATATTTTTATTTATTTTGAAACCCTCTGTTAATGAAAATTCACATTTTGAGCCAATTAAGCGTTAATGATTTACACTAACAAACGTCTTTTCAATTCACTTATCACAAAATCCAAGGTCTTCGTGCGCAAATTGTGCCAGACGTAATTATTAATGAATTACTGTGCGTGGAAACTTAATGTGCCACGGTAAACGTAACAGATCCATAGTCCCAGTTTGGGCTATGAATGTCTGAACATTCCTCTCTGATTCAGGCGGATCTGTTTAAACTCCTGCAGACTGATCTGACACCAAACAGCGCACAGCAAAGCGACGGCCTGCACATATTCGCTACTAATTTATTTTATCAATGCACATCCGGTTAGAGATTTAGTAACTGCCACAGAAAGGGAGAGCAGGCTACGCCGTTCTAAACTAATTGAACTAAACATTTTATTTTTGGAAATAGCTTATGTTTTATAGTCTAGTAAAACTGTGAGGTGGACAGGTTCATGTCTGGACCTCGAAATCCTTTAAATGGAGCAAAGCTAACCTCACTGATCTTAGAAGTCTAAAGTATTTATTTGTGCATTTTATAATGTTAGTGTGGATTATGCTGATTCTATTTTTTTCTATTCTGTTCTTTCCCCCGCTGTATTTTTCAGTGTATGAACACAGATAGATAGGTAGAAAGGAGAACGCAGCCTCTGGATGCGATTGGTCTCGGCGCGCCTGCAGTGCAGCAGTGCTGCCGCCGTTAAAACACGCTTGGCTAAGACAAACGCAAGGAACCCCTGCCACACCACAAAGAAAGACGTGGGGAATGCAGTAATATGAATATGGAAAGACAAAGGTGGAAAGCGTCAGAACAGTCTTCATTCGTTAAGCTATATATGATCAGATGATCGTTGTTAGAAATAACTGAGGTGCGGCGATCATAGTATGAAACAATCACCAATATTAAAGGGTAGTCCCCTGTTTTTTCATTTTCTGGGTACTTTCTCTTACAACCATCCCTGCAGACACCTTACGAGTTTCGTTTATTATACACATTCATGTAAAGGTGATGACATATCGTTCACAGGTGACCAGGAGGTGACTCATGGAGTATTTGAGATTGTTTTTATGCGGGGACTTATTTCCCAGAAATCTTGCCTAACCCAAATGTTTGGCTTCAACGAATCCTCAGTCTTAAGTGATTCCAAACGTACCAGCCAGTGGCTATAGAGTGGGGAACAGTGACGACTGAACAGTAAGGACACGCGCACGCTCGTGGGCGCACGCAGGTACACGTGCTATGTACAAATTTCCAATTAACTCCACAGGGAAACACTGTAACTAAGTAATCATTCCAAAGCGGATCCACCCGAGTCTATCTTGCTGCTGAATCATACCTGCGGACTGAGTCAGCACTATGACGCACCAGTCACCACTGCATGACTGAGGGTTGAGTCCCGGGTTTGTTTGTCATTACAGCTGGGAGATCCCTGCTGCAGAGTCACTGTAAATGACTCAGGCATTACAGGCACAGCCCTGTTTGTTATGCCTGCGTATTACCGAGGTATTAAGGCTGAACATGGGGGGACGCAGGGAGGGAGGGACGCAGGCGCTGGATCTATTTTTGCAAAGCTATAATGGATCAGATAGGGATATTTTCTCACAGGGATTCATTATGGTGGTTTTTATCATAAAGATCCCGGGTGTTTTTACCTCTTACAGAATGAATGAATTTCCACAAATTAAAGGAGCTCTTCTAGCTCGCGGTTTAAATAGTTGAGCTGAGACTTTGGGCTATTTTATTTTTTTGCACATGCCGTCATTTCGCAGAGCACAGGATATTTTGGGCTGGGCTCTTGACAGATGACTGATTTGGACCACCATGTGTCCGTTGCAGATGTTCTATTTCAATCCCTGTCCGTATCCAACGGATGTGAGCAGACTTAAACATATGTGATGAGGTTGAAAACCTGCAGTGCGTGCGCTTTATATATTTTGTGCATCTGTTTGTGATAGCAAAAAACCGTGGGCCTGCTGAAGAGGACTGTTAAGTAATAATGCCACTGTTAAAAACGCCAGTCTGTTATAAAACGAGTGGCTGAATAGATGTGCTTTTGGAAATCAGCGGCAGTAGGCCTACCTCTAACGCCAGTTTGTCAGAGATCACTGGGGCCTAGAACTGCCATGCACGCACATACTGAGCATGAGCTGCCAGTTAAGAGGATGAGGAAGAGAAGGCAGATAATCAGGAAGAGTTATAACTGCACAATTTTACTAAATCCTTGTTTTATTTTGGGGATCTTATAACCAGCTTGTTTGGGGCTTGGCGGGGATTTTGCCTATACACACACACACAAGAAAACAAACCACGCATATCTTAGTAATTGTACTCTTGAATCCTAAGGGGAATTCCCGTTTTAGTTTCCTGGAGAGAAACATAGGCCTAGTTGCAATTTGTCGACTGCAGGAGCTGCGAGGCGTCAGAGGCAGAGCCTAGATGTGGAGAGAGGAGGACAGCCATTTTCTCAGTCGGTGCTCACATTAACGCGCACAGGAGGCAGTTTTATTGGAGAGCTGCAGCGGAAGAAATGCTCGGGGGCTGATACCTCTGTTAGTGCGGTCGTCCAGTTTCATGGCATCTCAAGACAAGTCGTGTGTCGGAGAGCGCGGTTACCAGCCATTTGGCCCCATAGCAGACAGCAGAGGTTATAAACAAGAGCCAGCAGAAGCTCCTCTGCACAGCTTTCCCGAAAAGCGCCCTTCAGTTATTGAGAGGAACAGCAACTGGCTGTGTCACCGTATCCATGGCTGAAATTTAAGAGATAGGAAACCGTGGAAACACGCAAATAATAGTCCGTGTCGGTAAAACTGAACCTGTAGGTCAAGCAAAGAAATCAATCACTCCCTCTCTGCACCACAGGAGGATTTATTCAGGAAACATCTGACAGGAACACCTGTTCAGGTCCAAATGATGAGTCCTCAATGATCTTCTTCAAAGACGTAAAGTTTAAGACGCGTTTAACACGAACCCAAGTCAAAGCAGAAAGATTATAGTCGCTATCTGATTTAAAGAACAGCGTTTAATAACAGTTATTAGCCCATTAGGTTTTTCTTGGCCTATCTGTTACTTCTAGGCTATAGGTCAGACTGAAACCTGCACGTAGCAGTTGCTTTGAATTGAACGAATGGGCTTTAGGGTTGACCTGCAGCTACAGCGCGTATACAAGGCGAGTCTGGGGAGCCTGCTGAGTTAGATGATGCCCATCTGAAAATAAACTCACAGGCTCTGTAATAATCCCCACAGCCCGCAACACACACACAAATAGAGCCATGCACAGATTTAGCCACTTCTGAGGTAAGGTTAACCATCTAAGCACATTATAGCTGCCTCCCTTTGCTCCGTGGGTAGCCGAGGTCACGTATGGAGGCATGACGTTTCTTTTTTTGAGGCTGGTATTGGATTCTGTAAGTCTAAAAAGAAACCCACAAGTTCGTATGCCACTTGCAAACAATTTTATTATTGCAAAACGTATCATAGGAAGCCTTCACTTTTTGGTCTGCACACAAAACATCAATAATGCAGCTGGTCACCGTTCTCACAGAGTGATAGTGCTGGAGGGGAACCTTAAAGGAGGAGAGGAGGCATGTATGACACAAGGGAACAAATCTGATTATGACAAGAACATATGCTGTCATATACCGATAAGTACCAATTTGTTGCAATAGTTGCTCTAAATAAGACAGAGTGAATGTATTTTCTTAAGAAAACGGCCTTCAGTCTCCTCACTCACTGTGCCAGAGAACAGGAGGCACCCGGCTGGTAGTGCTAATCTGTTGGATTACACAGCTCATCTGGCAGTGTGGCCACAGTGAGTGAGTGATATATGGTCACATGGTTGTATATCTGCCATCTTAATGGAAGTGAGTTGTGCTCAGTATGAGATCTCCAGATGCAGGACTCAAAACACTTGAAACGGAGACCAAATAATAGGAACATACAGTACATCAAACATGAACCCTTAACAACCTTAAAAAACACCTGCTCTTCCTTTTCAACAAAGCAACTCACATTTCTTGACAGAAAGGTGCCTAATTTCTCTTTATCTCCTTGTTTAAGTATGCCTACTAGCATAATCTGTCCAAGCAGCATCCTTGCTTACATCTGTCCATCTGTTCACACACACACACACACACACACACACACACACACACACACAGAGTAATTAACACAGTGTAATTTACGATGATTCAATAACATTTTTCCTCCTTACAAAATTCTCCAAATAGACTACATTTGTTTAACATCATCTGACACTAGACAGTTGAGTTTATAAATGAAATTACATCCATGGAAAAGCGAAGATATTTACAAGAGTTAAGTGCATCTTCAATTAAAGTTGCAACATTGATTTGATTTAATTTAGCTTTTTCAACTACATGTGAAATCATTGAAATAAGATACTGCATGTGATAAAATCTCCCCAAATAACAGCATTTAGAGAGCTTAGAAGAAGAAATATGCAAATAACACAATAAAAAGATCTTTTTTTTTATCTGGGCTATACAAAATGAAAACATTAAGGGCTCATTTGTACATTCAAGCATCTGAAAATACAATATATATATCTAATGTACATTTATACAGTTAGACAGATGTTACCCAGCTGTTACACAGTTACGTATTCCTTAAAGGTAACTGTGAGGCAGTTTGTAGTAATGTCTGTGATGATGATATTTCCGAGGAAAGGTTGGAAAGAGGGAAATGTCCCCTCTCTTTTCTTTTCATTGTTAGATGACTCAGTGTTCCCCTCTGCGGGTTTTGATGTTTCAGTCGGACGCTGTGTTTCTGTTTGTGTGTCTAACTGTGCCTCATTTTGTGTATGTGTTTCGGGTTGTGCTAGAATTGGAGCCTGTGTGTGTGTCTCTGCTTGTATGTGTGTCTCAGGCTGGCTTGCTGTGGAAGTTGCGGCTTTAGGCTTGGACTTGACAATACTCAAGTCAATAGGCTCCTCTTGATCTACATACCCACAATCCTGCAATCCAGTGTGACGCTGGTGTCTGTTTTGGTCGATGCTGGTGCTTTGGGCGGGCGAAGAAACAGGGTTAGGAGCGATGATATTCCTGCAACTCAAAAACTTCTTATTAGTCCCATGATCCTTGCTATCTGTGTCAGAGTGGTGTCGTTTAAGTCCTTGAACTCCACCTTGGTTTCCTCTTTTGTCCAGTGCAGAGGGACCTTCTCTATCCGAAGGCGAGGAGAGCACATTAGGCTTGGTTGTCAGTTGTAAAGGCTGATCCGCTGGAAGCTGCCGCTGACCCCTGACCTCAAAATGTTTATCCTGTTCTCTTGCAGTCAGTTCCATTTTGGGGGATTGTTCCATTTCTCTAGGGCAATCTCCATTAAGTCCAGAATTGAGAACAGCTGGTTGGTCTTTGGGGATTTTTGCAAATCCGTTCATGAGGCCGAGCTTCTTGACGAGTTTCATCTTCTCCAGGTGGTTCTCCACGCTGTTGCCACCTCCCTGCTGTGGCTTTTCAGCAGTTTCAGAATCACCGCTTTTAATTTTAGCGGCTTGCATCCCATTTTCCATGTACTTGCTCATGACAATTACAATCCGTCCATTCTTGTTTTTGTTCTTTACGATCTTTAGCTTGCTGCTGCTGACACCATTAGACTGTGGTGAAGCATCCTCTTTAGGTTTGACCTTCTCTGGCTCCTTGTGCCCGTTGAGGTCGGCTGGAAGCTTCTTCAGCTCCATGGTGATATCCTTCACTTTGGTCAGGCAGCCTGAGTCCTTATCCCGGACCCACTTTTGCTGCAGCACTGGAGGGAGATTGTACCCTTTGCTGGACAGCTCTGGGGCTTTAACCTCTCTGGGTTTGGCAAATACAGGCTCAGGCACCTTGAGGTTCGGCTGGTAGTGGTGATGCTTCTTGCTATTGAGCTGATAGTAGAACTTCTTGCCGTTGGTCTGCTGCTCGGCCTCACGCTCCCTGCACAGGGGCTGATACTGGTGGTGCTTTTTGCTGTTCAGCTGGTACTGCTGGGCCTGGGGACGGAGCATCTGGATGGGGTTGGTCTTCTGACAGCTTTCCTCATCCAGGGACTCCTCATGAAGGTCGGCCAAAATACTGGATCTCCGGGCAAATGAAGGGACCTGTGAATAAGACAGTAATTAGGCATACAAGAATATTCCATGATAAATTAGGGGATTTTTGGCATTCCTCTGAGCAGGGACCTTGATTAATGGTGCAACCGACTATAGTAGCCATACATGTGTCTGTGTCAGTCTGCAACAAAAAGCCACAGCTTGTACTGAAAACACTGTGCCTGGAATGTGTGAAGGGGCTCTTCTGAGGCCTGAACAACTGCCACGTTTATTTCAGGGGCCTTAGCCCATGTTCATCAGGCCCTCCTACCATTCCCGAGCATCTCTTTCAGCCACCAGCCCAGCCATCGAGTGACATTTCAAAGTGTCTCCTGCGGCTGTGACCTCAGCCCAGAGGAATGTCACAGGCTGCTTTGTGGCCTGTCATTGACTTTATCTCATCTGTTACCACCAACACCCTCCTGAGAGGAACAAAAACACTCCTCTGAGGGGCTCCCCTGGCCTTTTGGACCAGTGATTGATGCGCTGAATGTACCTTTCACAATCATTTAGTGGAGGGAACTGCACCCTATAAAATTTTATATGATAATATCTTCTAGCAAATTTATTGTTTGTGATAAACATTCTAATTGTCAATGTGCAAACACTCCCAACACCTAATTTAAAAGGGCACTCCACCGTTTTTATACATGAGCATCAGTTGTGTCATCATGGAGGGTTCTACTCGAAGGAGGAGCTTCTTACAGTCTGACAAAATAACCTTTTCAGACTCAAAAGCTACAAATTAATAATATAAACCTTGCATTACAAACAGGAATTTGAAGGGGGTTTTACCGGGCAGGGAGGGTCAAACAAAAGATGACTCTGACTTGCATTATGGGAAATGTAGGACTCAACATTTTCAGAGCCTAAATGTCAGGATGTCTCATCCTTTTGTTGTTTCAGTTTTCACCATTATCTGTCCACCAAATCTGTCTCTCATGAGTCTCCCAAAAGCAGAACCAAGTGTCCTGAAGTTCCCCTTTAAATCAGCTTTAATTCTGAGAAATTGACCATTTTTTCTATATTACTTCCTGGGATTTGACAGAGAATTATGCATGGAAATGAAAAAAGTATAGCTGTAATTCATCATCATTAATAATCAAGAGATGTGTCATCATTATTTTTACCTGAACCAGAAGATGCCTGGGCTTTGGTCCTCTCTTGCGATATCCCATCAGCTGCTCTTGACGTTCTCTGTAGGAGAGGAGAATGACAGCCAATCAGTGAAGCCATCTCTCAGACATGACTCCTCGTTGCATGGCAACACAATATCAGAGGTGTCCTCCTCGGGCTCAGTTAGAAAACAGTGAGCCCATATTCCAGGCTGGAGTTACACTTCCTGCTGCAAAGTGAAATTCATTCAACACAGATTAAAGCAGCATACATGTAATTTCACTATTATATATTTACCTTTTCACATCTTTCTTTAAGTATCAAATGTTTAATACCTCAATGCACTTGTCCTTCACTGCTACAACATCTAAACAGTGTCTTCAACTGAGGATTTTTTCCTCCATAAATAACACTCAATATATCCCATATGATGTCTGCATCTACAGTAGAAGCTAAAGGCCCTCTCTGACTTTCCTTTGCTTTCGGCGGTTTCCATGCAAGTCTCTCCAAGGCAGTAACTCAATACCGCAGACAGGAGTGATGTCAACCCCCTCCCCCACGCTCCTCCCTCACATCTAATTACAATGACGACTCGGTGTATTTTCATAGCCTGGCATTCAGACGATTTGGCTCCCTGGAGAGACAAGCAATTAGTTTCAATAAAATCTCTCCCCTTTAGAGAGAGAGAGGTAATTGCAAAAACAGACGCGGACTGATGTCAATGTTTTGCTTTAACGTGTGACCTGTGCCTGAAAGGTTGCTGTAAGTAAATGCTGAGGGAGGCTCAGAGAAAAGCCAGTGACAGTTTAGCACGCCATGCATTTAAGAAATTCAGTTACATTAGCTTTCACGTGGAGCTGTTTGGTCAGTCACTCAACAGTACTATTTAGCAATTGGCCAAGCAGCTAATTTCAGCTTGGTAGCCCACTCTGAAAACCATGGATGGACACAGGGCCCTTTACTAATACAGAACACCAGGACATTTCTCTGGTTGAAACGTCCTGGCACCACAGATTTACAGCAATAATTAAGCTACTATTTAGTTCCTGTTTACCCAAGTCTTCATTTCCTCTTGCCTTTCAGATTAAGCAAACATGTGTACCACAATTTAACACGTCAGTCCCATACAGAGGGAAGTATGTGCAGAAGTCTGTTTTCACATGCATCTACTGAAGGTAGAAAGGTTCTCTGTGCTCACATTAAAGCTCAGTTTAACATGCTGAGAATGGACTTTTCGGTTAAGTAGGTGACGTATAGTGTCCAGCAGTTAAACTTTTGAAATGACCAAAATTGGCCTCTACACTGGATTATTTAATGAGCGAGAAGGAGTAAATATAATTTTAAGCATTTATAACAAGGTCATTGGGAACAACATATTAGCCATATTATTACTCAAAGCAGATTATTTTTATGCCTTCAGACATTTTGGGAGGGGTCTTTTAAGTTTTATCAATGTACAAGTCTGAAAAAAATAACCAATTGATTAGGACTTTTGTTTTGGTGGGTTTATCCTTTTGCACAATCATTAATAATATTAGCTGATGTAACCAGCAAAAGGCAACCATGTCCTGTGGAAGATGACACAAGTGCATGTGGTGACTATGTGGTTGGACAGCAAGTGGCACTTAGGCATGATAACCTGAAGCTGACACTCAAAGAACTATCAGGTGACAAAAAGTCAATGCTCAACAAAGTATCACAGTTTGCTCAGGGACTCCTGACCTGGGTTTAACCCTATCCTGACCCTCTGATGACACCGGGTCTAAACCAGCCCCAGAGGCAATGAATTTCTGCACATTTGACTGACACACTCTGTGTTATGCATTAAAATATCATCATGGGATTATCTACTTAGTGACCAGGCTGCACAGTTCCTGGCTATAAACAGACAAAGAGTTCCTCCTCTTGACACATGGATTAGTTACAGTCATTTCAAGTACTGTGTCAAGAATTGGAAAAGTACAGAAAACTGTGACTTTAAACCTGTTTGTTCTTCTTGGGATTAGGTGACTGAGTTTGCATATATCATCACATGTGAGGCGGCTTTGTCCAACTAGAGTTGGAGTCTTTCCAAGACCTTACCTGTCTTGGAAAGCCACAAGCAGTCTTGGATCCAAAATGTTTTCCTCTGGTTCCCACGTGTTGTACCTATTCAAAGAGGAGAATGTGAACAGTGAGGACACACTGGCCTGTCATAAGCCGGTAGGTGACATTAAAAAGCACTGGCTGAGGAGAGCAGGCGACCCTGAGGTGACCACTCTTTAACTTATTAATTCTGCCACTGTTCATATTTGTAGTTGTCTACGTGTAAGCATGAGGAGACACTCACAGTCACTGTAGAAGCACGTGTAATGAATCACCAGTAACTTTTACGCACGGGTGCAGGGGGGGAGGAGGAGGACACAGCGGCCCTGCCTCCGCTCAACTTAAGATATATGTGCATTTCTTAAACACAGGGTTCGATTATAGACGTGTCTTCCTTTAATTGGTACACCTGGGACTGCATACATCATAAAACCACATCCATCATCGAGGCCGGCGCGTCTAGCGTCCAAAGCAAGAACGCGCAACCGCCCATATGCGCGCCCACGCTCACACGGATGCACTCATCAACACACACACACACACACTTCTGTTCTGAATGTTGTGTTATCATCATGATTATTATTCTTATGCTATGTAATGAGACTTACTTTGGAGACCATCCTCGCCACTTGACCAGATACTCAACCCTCCCCTGTGAATGGAGAGAAACGGGATATTCAGTGTAACGATACTTTACGCAGCGAAAAGGCACTCTGGACTGCATCGTGATCTTCTAAATTATAGCTAATAATAAAAAGGTAGTGCTTCAGAAGTAGAGGAGACCAAAGAGAAAGCATCCTTATTTCCATGTGCATGTGTTTAAAAATGTCCTTCGGTGCTCTTGTGACAAACCTTTCTGCTGCGCTTCTTCTCGATGCTCTCCACCGCAAAGACGTGCTCTCCAGCGGCGGGTAGCTCCATTTTCCGAGAGGCGACTCTTCTGCTTCCCCCCCCCCCTCTGCTTTTGGTATCCGACACCTTACCCTTGGTTTCAGGCTGTTTTTCCCCTCTGTTCCGCTTATGGGAAACACAAGAGACCCCCTCCTCCTCCTATTTTCGCTGCGCCTCTTCCCTCGCTTTCCCCCTCAGAGAGTCCTGATCTGCAGGCGACTTGAGGCTGCAGCCAGAAAACACTTCATGCAAATAGCCGTTGACATGACGTCGGTCGAGGGGGAGGGGATAGGGGCGGGCGTTGCTCATGTGCTGCTTTTTGTTGCTGTCGGAAAAAGTGTAATCACGACTCCCGTGGCGGGGTATAAAAAACGTGAACTAAAATCTATATAGGTGCAGAAAAAGTTACATTTTTGTATGAAAACTGATACATTAAGGTGTAACTTTTACTAAGAAATAGCCTGGAAACAATTAGTGGTGTATAGGCCATGTTATTGTTGGCAGTTTTATTTTTAGACTTCCTTTATATAGCCCAATAAATTATTAAATATTTGCCGCAATTCTATTTTGGCGTTTGTTAGCTGGCTATCTACCTACAGAAAAAGGCCTGCTTCTGTGCTACATGTCACTTTTCAAGGCATCAATTAACACTTTCTTACTCTGTACAATAAGAAAAACAGTTGTTGCAGGCAATGGATTATTTATTTGAAGACAGAAGGTCTAGACTTGTACCACGAAAGATTAATGTTTTTGCTCTTGTTGTTTTACTAGTTGTCTTCCGTCTCGGATTATGTGAAATCAGATAGTGTTGCATTGAAAAAGTACATAGGCCTAATAATGCCTGCTTCCAATGGCACAGGAATAAGCAGCACACATAACTACGTCGATAATAATCGTAAATTAGCTTATATTCTTTGAAAGTGTTCAATAATAACCACCTAAATTTGCAGGCGAGTGAAAGTGTGACTGTATATCTGGAAAGTACGAGCTGAGACGAGACCCTGAAGGCGCCATCTCTCCTTCCCGTGTCGCTGGACGTGAAGCGAACTCGAACTGCAAGAGGGTGCTATGAAAGAGAGGAGCGATTAATTCCAGACCGTGATGGCCTGATGTGCTGCTCGAATTTAGCAGCTTGGCGACATCTAAGCGCTTCATTTTGTGTTTCCAGTGGCAACACGTCAACAAAATGGTTTCGTTTAGGATATCACTCCACCTGTGCGCCGTCAGTCCTTCTCCATCTTACAAAGCCATCCAAAATGTAGCCTATTTAACAGTGCCTGATACGATTGGGTTTATTTAAAATGATAAGACAGTCAGTTTAAAAAAGAACAGAGGATTTAGACTGAAAAATCACAACATGCCCAGCCAACGTCAAGGCCACAGCCCGTGTGACAGATTTATTGCCGCACTATCACAAGGCCTCTTCTATTACAGAGAATCCTGTTGATTCTGGAAAACAAATTCCCACCCCGTGCTCATGCTACTGTTTGACAGAGCCACCACTGTAATGGTGTAGCTGATGCAAGGTGAATCATTGGCTGTGTAAAGTTAGATTGCGGACAGAGCCCGGCCGCTGTTAAGCGCATTCAATGAATAGATTTGTGAGCCAAGGTCACAGAAAGACATGACACTTGAGACGGATTTTCTGGTAGATTGTTTTTAAAAGAACACCCATGTTTGTGTGGGAACCGACGTAGGCCAGCATCCAATGTCGGGATGCTAACCCCTCCGACTGTAAGCGCACTAGGGTTATCTCTGAATGTGGAGCCCGACAGGATCCGGTTCCGTTATCACTCGGCACAAAGAGCGCACTTGGGCCTGAAAAACCTGAGTGCGACACACAAACCATTCGGCATCAGACCTGAAGTATGGAAGTGGCAGTGCCCAAGGCTGCACTCAAGTGAATATTTTAGAACTGGACAGAGAAAAGGCTGCAAATTGTATAGCTTGTTAACTGCCATTGGTTTATAGGCGTATATACAGCTCTTTGTTTCGTTTTATTACGTTTACATTTATATGAGGAATGCATTTTCGATGCATTTATTTAAAAAGACAAGCCTTAAAACGTGGACGCAGACCGCCTTGCATTGTTTCAGATGGTTAGACCAAATAAAATTCAGCAGTGAAAGGGTTAAAGTGCAGCGCTCCCGCAGGCTGAAGCGTTGGCCTATTGCAGAAAGGCACGACTGTCTGTCCTTATAAGGCAATGAGAGCAAACCAGCGATGAAATATCACATGGAATTAACGACCATATCGCGTTAACACTTGTCTCTTTGCTTCAGATACCCTTTCATATGCACACCGCAGTCAAAACAACCATTAGTCCTCACTGGTTTGCTTTCTGCGGAATGGTGAGGCTCGCGCGCGCACAAGGGCGCAGCACCATGCATAGACCCCCTATTTCAGCTGCGTCATTCCTAAATGACCGACGGGCTAAAGGCACACAGCTGTCAACTAGAAGCTGTGGGGGCCGTGAGCGCGGCTCGAGAAGTATTGGCCGGGAGATGTTTATCAGACGAGCGGCAGACCGTCCAGCGCTCACCTGTCTACTCCTCCACCAAACACAACACGATGATCTCACACGCACAGCAGCACTGAGCAGATATGGTACTTAGGCAGACCATATAATATGTTTAAGTAGTGATGACGCCAAAGTCTAATATACACCGCGTTCATGCGTCAGTCTACAGCTTTGGCTTACGGCACGTGCTCCAGAGGCGGATGGGTTGTGATGGCGCACGTGCGTATGTTATTAACGGTATAGTACGCACAGAAAGTTCACTTGAACAGCAGGACCCTGCTCACGGTCTGCAGCGCGTGCACATCTTAAGACCAGACGCCGACATTGAGCTCCACAGGAGACAGCGCTCTCCATCTGTGTCAAACATCCATGAAGTGATGTTTCGAGGTAAAATGAAACACCCTGTCCAGGGAAATTATTCTAAAAACAAGCAAGCAGACACCAAAAATGTGACGCATTAAGCTAACAAACAGGTGCGGTGTCTTATGAAAACAGCTGACAAACAAGTCATATGCAAAACCGCATTCCTCTTTACAGCTTATTTCATCTACGGGTCGTGTTTGTATAACAATAGTAGTTCAGGGCTGTGGTGAAGCTACCTCCACTTTCTCTGGAAAATGTTTCTGTCTTCAGTCTAATTCAAAGACATGAAATTGTCTTTTCCACTGAGTAGTGCGATGTAAAGGTGCAAGCTACGCATTGGTCAAACTGACTGAACTCCTGATTATGAAAGGACTTTCTCTCAGCAAATGCAACGCATGTGACAAGACAAATCGCAGGAAATGACACAGAAGGAGCTTTTTAAAAACAGAGTATTTAACTAACTATCCCCCTTTATTCTTATGCTCTATATCCTGGCATCAATACTCTTACCAAATGGTAATGGTGATCTAATTGGTAAATGAAGAATGTTTTATTTATAGGCCTACACGTTACTTTTCCACCTCTGGCTCTTCTGTTGTTTGCAGAGTTATTTGTTCAGTGTTAAATACAGTAAGTACACTTTACTCAACACCAGCCTTGTACAAGTTAGATAAGACAGGCATTAGCTCACCTCTACCAACTAAATCATCTGGAGGACATGGCTGCTATGCAGGTCCTCACATAACTCAAGAAGGAGAAGTGTGAAGGAGAAGAGTAATTACTTTCAACAGTGACTGAAGGAAAAAAGATGGTGATGACATTAAACATACAAAACTAAACTGAGAAGTTCAGTTCTCCTAAATATTCTAAGAATCTGAGTTTGAGACATTTTGTTCAATACATCACATAGTGACACAGACCTTAATTTACAGTAAACCTGTTGTGCTGGAAAAATACAAATGGATTGTGCTATAGACAGAAAGAGGAACTGAAAATCCTTAAGAGAGTTAATGATGGACTGGGGACATTTTACTAAAAGTAAGAACGAGAGCTTGTATATTTAGGGACACCCCAGGATCCATAAATCCGATGACGCTTTTTATTTGAGTGAGGACATCTGATTAAGATGACATTTCCTCGTAGGAAGAAATGATGCTCTGCCTGCGTCACAGCAGCTGACAACAGATCAAATAACACCAGAGGTGAAACGGGAGGACAGAGGGGAAACGAGGTGTCATGAAAGAAGGATGTGATTAGTAACAGTACATATTTGCTCATAAGGAAGAACATGGTAGATAACATTAAAGTGGCATTTAACAATTCAATGAACAGATTTTCTGTTGTCAAAGTTCAACTACACTCTCATAGAGGACATTTTTATTGAAAACAAGTGGTTACAAAGCACAGCCAACTATCACTGTCAGCATCCTTTAAGTTCATGTACTGGAAAAGACAAAGCTGTCTTGGTATTAAAAGGTTTCAGTCTCACAGAAAATCTGACCGAGGAACTGCTGTAGATGTTCTTATGTTAACCAAATCATTCTAGACTTTAGTTCCTATCTTAAAATGCACACAAAGATGACATGCTGTTCATTTGGGTTAGGAAACTTGAACCATCTCTTTGTTCCTTTTAAAGAAAACTATTTAAAACCTAGCAGTGGAACTAAAAACTGCCTGATGTTTCAGCTGAGAACAAAATGTTCTCAGGAAGTTCCTGAAAGCTTGACAGTTTAATTTAAGTGGGGTTAATGGTATTTTAAGTACGAGAACAGTACAAAGGTTACGGTTGTGGTTAGTGGATGGTCACAGTTGAATAAGCCAAACTGTCATCAGTCAGTTTCACTGCTCTCTTTATTTTCAGCTGCGACTCACAGTAACTGCTTCACCTTTTCACAGAGATCAAACAGAGAGAGATCAAATCAAACAGTGTAGCCTGGGCTCATGACATGTTGTACCGGTTCTGGTGGCACTAATGGACAGAAGGAGGGGACAAAAGAAGAACTGGATTCCTAACGCTGTAATTTAAAGTGATGTTTTAAATATTTAAAAAAGGTCAACCATCACCTGTCAGAGGTTTAACCAGTCGATGTGACATCTACGTTTGTAAAATGACTCGTGACACAAAATGTAATTATGCATCTGTCAAAACAAACATGGAATTTGTGACCATGAGAATTTTGATCACTGGAGTGTCAGAATTTCATTATTTATGGGCTAGATTGTTATGCATCTTGTCAGGATATGTTGTTATTTGTTAAAAAGTAACACACATGCCCGTTGTCCATAAGTAGACACACACACATTTTGTAAATGCTTGAAACAGCAGCAGTGTGTTAAATGAACACGCACCTTTAACATCTCTCTTCTTCAAAGATGTGTCTTTGCAGGAATGATAAAAGGAAAATGCAGCCTTTACAGCTGCCTCTAAAGAAAGTGATTTCCCCCGTGTGTTGGCGTGTGATGAATGCTTTTAACCTGCTGAGGGGACAGACTCACTTCTTTGGGATTCATGCAGTCACAC